TTTACTTCCTTGTAATAGTGATTGAATTGGGTAGGGTAGAGGAAATATTCTGTTAATTATTGTGATTGTCTTATTTAGGCAATAGCAATAACCTTTTTGAGTGGAGGTATGACTTTTCCTTGAAGGGAATACTCACATTGAGTCACCTCAGAAAAACCTTGGATAAAGAGGAAGGTAGGTAAGTACTTCTTCTAGTTTCTGGGTTCAGAGGGTTGGTGAGAAGATTCCTGGAGATTTCCTTTGGTAAATACTGAGTTAACACCTTGCTGCTTGTAAGACATGAACCCCTAAATCCAGAAACAGGCCTCAGTAGAGATGTGAGGTGAAGTCTGAGCTTCTGGGAGTATTAATGTCCATTATAATGTCAATTATAAACAGCTCTCTAAATTGGCCTTTGTAATTCTCAAGTCTTCATTAAAACTTTATTAAATACTACACCTGGTGTTGCTGTGCTTGGGAAATTAAGGATAGTTACTGTATTTGTATTTGAGACCCAGTCATATGAGGCAACTTGCAGGCCCGAGAAGCCACTTAAAAGTTTGCAAGAGTTTTCCCACTAAATTCCACAACAGTCTTGAGCAAGATTCCTGGCTTTGTGACCAAGGTCTGGGTTAATTTTCAAACATAATGAAGTGTTCCTAAAGTTTTCCAAGATGTTGAATTGAGGCAGGTTAATATGCTCAGAATGAACTTCTGATTTTCTTTGGGATTAGGCTGTAAGAAAAGATCGAGATACCTAACTATTTATAAGAAACTCATCTTACCAACAAAGACTTAGAATTAGGCCCACTCTGGTGGCACATCTGGTTAAAACACAGCACTGTAAGCTAACTGAAGCTTCTTCAGTGCGAGTTTGAGTTAGATCCCCAGCCCCAGAGGTGATCCACATGGCGCAGCAGACCTCTCCTGACCTGCCTGCTGCTCCCCTCAGCAGTGTTCTTTGTCAGTTGGCCTTTCTGCTCCCTACTTTGTCTCTGGTGAATCCTCTTACTGTCCATGCACCTCTGGCCTGCACCCCAGTTCTGTATGCATAAATAAATAAAATCAAAAAAAGACTTAGAATTAACGTTGGAAGATGTTTGCATATATCTACACAAGCAAGTGACAACCAAAAAAATCAGCCATACTTAACATTTGACAAAATAACCTTTCAATTAAAAATGGTAAAAAAAGATAAGACACTATATTATGGTTAAGGGTCTAATACAGTAAACAAAATAATACTTATATGTGCACCAAATGAGGGGACAAGAAGTACCTAAGACAATAACAGAACTTAAGAAAGATACTGATAACAGGGCCCTCCCTGGTGGCGCAGTGGGTTAAAATGCAGAACTACAAAGCCACCTGCAGCCACTATAGCACAAATTTGACCCCCAGTCAGGGAGGTAACCAACATGACATGGCAGACCTCTGCTGACCTGCCCGACCTCTGCTGACCTGCCCACTGCTCCCCTCAGCAGTGTATTTTGGTGGATCTGCCTATTCTGCTCCCCATTCTATCTCTCCCTCCCTCCACCTCTGGTCTATACCCTAGTTACCTGTATGTTTAAATAAATAAATCTTTTTTAAAAAATTTAACAATGTATAAAGCACTTTCAAAAATCACTGGATATCAACAAATATCCTGAGGGCTCTGAGGTTAGTAGGGGTAAGGGGAGGAACAAGGGGATATAAGAGATGAAGGTGGAGTGGGGGTAGGGATGAGATGTATCATACCTGTTGGCATGGGAAAAGTTTGGAAATTGTAAAATTATATCTCAAATATCCTTCAAATTTGTCCTCTCCATATTTGTCATTCTTCTAGTCCAAGGTTTCCGTCATCATCTGCATTAATGTGATAGAAAAATGTAAGTGCTTTACCCACTTCTATTCTTACTGTCCCACATGAAGTCTTCCTTGAGGTCAAGACAAATCTTTAAGTGTAGATCAGATGACACTGTTTTGCTTAGAGCCTTAAATAACTTCCTGTTATTCTTGGGATAAAATCCACTATCACAAC